ATTTGTAAATATTATCATTATTGTGGAAGAATATTTAAGCCAATAGGCTAACAAGTTCATGTATGACAGGAAGGTTCGTACGGGCTCAGAGTGGACGAGTGCTTTGAAACTAAATGTTAACAACACTTCTCTCTGCGGAATTTCTGAGACCGAAGACCAAGCGAATGGAGAAGTGCCCGCATTGACAAATGTATGACTGTTAGTGTTTCCCGAAATCTTTGTACTTTGCAAGATCAAGACCCGTCTGACTGTTGCAAGACCAAGACCAAGACTGAGAAAAAAAAATCACTTTTTTGAATAAAAATTAAGCCAAAGTAGTTACTAATACTTGACAATTTTAGTTACTATATGTAAAGAATTGGTATAACCAATATACTTTGGCATTTAACTCTCCTATTTTCTTATTCGGGTTTACTTAGTTTTCCACAATCTGAAAAATATCATTAAACGTAATATCACTATAGTAATAGGCTGATAGGTAGGTAACTGCAAGACTCTTGCTCAAGACCACGACGAAGACCATAACTGAGAGTTAACCATAACCATAAGACGAGTCTTTGTCTCGCATTTATGGCAACATTAATGGCTGTTTAGAATCATTAAAAGAATGAAACACTGAATAATAATTTGAAAAATCAAAAATGTTAAAAATATAATTAAAATTCAAAAAATTATCGTCTATAATGAACAACATCAATTTCGTGGTTTAAAGCTTAAAGTAGACAACAATAAATATAATCTCATAAATATCTCGGTAACCATTGATTTTATCAAAAAATGTATAGTCATTATATAGAGATTGTAAATTACTTTAATATTGGGCACTGATTCTCGTAATGCCTTCCATGACATTATTTTTTCCAATCAACCTCACATTCACTGGTTGTCATTACCATTATGACAGGTGTGAATAAAAAAAATAAACCACAAAAAAACTTTAATATTGTACTGAACAATATTTGCAAAAAACCTCATAGTTTTGGAAATACTCTCAAAAAACTAAAAAAATATCAGTTTTCTGTCCTTCTCTCCCCCATCAAAACCCGAGGCGGAATTCTTTGTGACTTTTTCCTAATTATTATGGAGAGGGCAATGAACGATTTCTGACAACATTCATCTTTAATTTTTGAATGCTGTAGTAAAATCCCTAATTTTACTGGACTACAAAGGCTAATGCCCATAGAACGTGACATATCCTGGTGATCTGCTATTTCTTAGTATAAATATCGCTTGTATAACTACGGTATGAAAAGTAACACAAATATATCGCCGAAGTATATATATTCGCCACAAATATATTCGCCAAAAGTAACTCTATCAAATCGCCGAGATAGACAACAATCTGTGGGCCCTTAAACTTAAACTTTAAATTATGCAATGTCCGATAGTGCCACCCACATTATATTTTTTTTTTCTCCTTCCATATTTATTCTATGGTATATTTAATTTATAAATAAAACTTATATAAATTACGGTTTTTAAATAGTCGATGTCGTAAATATGAATATCATCAGCAAAGTATAACTTCATTATTTTTTTATATAAACATTTATAACTGAACAAACATAAAAGAAATTTTTTAAAAATCTATTTATTGAATAATAATAGAATCAGCCACTGCTGGAGGGCTATAAGCATTAGGGCTAAAAGTTCTCATTCATACAATATATACAAATAATACAGAAATAAATATAAATATAAGAAGTAAATAAATAATACTGATAAAGAAGGTAAATAAAAAAAATAAATAAAAAAATAAAATAAAATAAAAACTTTTAAACACAATCATAACTATGGAAGACAAAAAAAAAAAAAAATTTAGTCATAAATATCTTCTGTATAAAATCCCTTATCTGTGAGTGAAATAAAAATAAGGATAGACGATATAATTACCAATCAAATTGCCAATTTTTTAATTAATACATTTGTGACTTGGATTGATAATTAAATTTGTATAAAAACAGTATTTGGCATATAAATTGGATTCAAACGTTCGTTTGCGCACTACATTAAGACATTTCTAAAAATGCTTAATGAAATCCCAACACCGTTTGTATCTTGTTATGTGATTTCAATATTTAATACAACATCCAGGGTTGCTGTAAGAAAATTACGTTTATCTCAGTTATGTATTATTTATCATGTACCTAATTTTCTTACTAAATATGGGCAAGCTATCAAATTTAGTGCTTAGCCTCTCGTTGTCACAGGAAATCTATAAAACCGTTACTAAAATCATCGCTGGAAACCATGGACGGAACTCAGCGCGTTCCTTCATTTAGGAATTGAATTATCATTAGTCCGATAGTTAGATGGTTATCCGCATTATAGCCTGAGTGTTGTCATTTATTAACTTAGATTACAAATTAATTTTGAATTTATTTTCTATATCTTTTTATTTCAGTTTTGAAATTTAAAAACATCGGTTGGTAGTTATTTCGTAGCATGTTTATATATTTTTTATGTGTTTTGTAACCTTCTAAGAGTTCTAATTTTCACTGGAATTCATCAGGTCGTTCCTAAAACCACCAATAGCTGTCCATCGTTGTTGGGTTCAAGCCATTAATGAAATCCATCGATGGAACAAGGACTGAGTTTAGCAAGTTTGCGTAACCTTTAAATCAATAGGAATATAATTATCTTTGGCATTTTCATACAAAGAAAGGACGAACGATTATGAAATAAATATGATAATATTTTCTTTTTTTATGAATTATTAATACTAATAATGATTATATAAAAAACCTTCTAGAAAACCAAAAAGAAAAGTTCAAGAATTGAGGAATTGAACAAATAAATATAAGAATATGTCACAGAACCAAAATGATGGGAAGATGAAATATGTGATGCACATGAAATTAGTTGCTCAATTCACAAGAATAGTTATAGAATACAATAGTATTCGTAAACTATGAGCCTGTTATTATACACATATAATAGATACATGGATAAAGTTTAAATGGTTACCAATAGTGAGGTGACCTCTACAATCAGAAAATTCGGAGTGAATGTCACGCTTGCTTCTTTCAGTAACATAGGAGAAACACCGTTTATTCTCAAACAACTCACGGAGAAGAGTTGGCAATAAAATCAGGACGTTCTTGTACTCTTTGTGGATTGTGAAAGCGCATCGAAATTCATTCAGCTTGTTGTTGAAATATAATATGGAGCCACGGATAATTCACAAGACAAAAATACTAATAAATTAAGCGGATATGATAAAAAAACCTCAGAACTAAGTTGTGAGGATATAATTGTAAAGGTTCGAGCACAAACCTCTGAGTTTTAAAATCCAGTTAAACAATTAAGTCAACGTATTGTCAATTCAGAGAATCGTATAACAATTGGTACGATTTCACACATTAATATTCATACGGCCCCTTGCATGAATTTATAATATTTATATGCTGTTCAATTTAGCGAACGATAAATCAAAGATTCCTCTATTTTTTTAAAATTTGTTTATTGAGAAAAAGTACATCCTTTCTCAATTCAGGACATTTATAATAGAGATCAAAGAGCATATTTACACCATATTTATACAAAACATAAATAAATAAAGTAATAGCTATATTGTACACAAAAAAACAAAACAAAATACAATAACATAGAAAGAAAATATATATACAGGGTTTTACAGGTTAAAGTGGCCAAACTGAAAAAAAAATAAACTTAGGACCTCAAAACAAGAAAAAAATTTCCTTTGAAGGTATGAAGGATTAGGAGATATTCAAACCTAAAGATTTTCGTTGTTATGAATTATTTACGTTATATGAAATAAATAAAACCTATTCATATTAAATGTTGTTCAAAGCGATTTCCTTTGATATAAACACATATCCAGTGCCGTTCTGCCAGTGCTGCTGTTGAAGAAAGATACCAAGTCTGTCTTAATGCTCAATGATATCACTTTGAACCACCTTTAATACAAATGTTAAAGTTTACATTTAATTAAAAAGTTGTAAACAATTACATAGGTTTTATGTATTTCATATTACGTAAATAATTCATAACAACGAAAATCTAAACAAAGCGTTTGTGCTTATACCTTCTGAAGAATTTTTTTCTTGTTTTGAGGTCTTTAGTTCATTTTTTGTAGTTTTGGCCACTTAAAACAACATATTTATATATATTTATAAATAAATTAGAAAAATCATTAAAACAAATGCATTTAAAAAATAAAATTAACATTTTAGACACAAGTAATTTTAATTTTAAAACTAATAACTTGAAGAGTTGTGCAGGTTACAGACGTACTCATAATAATATGTTTATCTATAGAATAAGAATCTGAATTTAAAGTATAGCATGAAAATGAGTTTAATGACTACAATAAAGTTTATTCAAATAAAAACAAATTAATAAAAAAATCCTAATAAAGAACTTAAAAGAAAATTTGAATTGGTAAAATATAAAGGATGAAAGGACCACCACAATATACATTTTGTGTATATTTCTTATTAATATTATTATTTTATTTTTATTCCATTTACTTTATTTGTATCTAATGTAAATATAGTATGAATAAGCTCTTATGTCAATGTTACTAATTCCTTTGTTGTGACATAATGTAATAAAACTCAATAAAGAAATTTTAAAAATAATAAATGTTACGCCCACCAACTATGAAAAGCATGAGAAGTATAAATTAAAACTGATAAAGTAAGTAAATAAACATGGGAAAAGCAAATCATTATTTAAAATGGTTCCATTTGACAAACACTTGAATAATTTCCACAGATCGGCAGACACCACAAATATTTGACCACACTTTTTATATGAAAGCTTCCTTTTTAGAGATCGACAAATATATATATATATATATATATATATATATATATATATATATATATATATATATATATATATATATATATATATATGTATATATTGAAAACAATAATAAACAAAACACTCCCACTAACAAAATTTGGGCACAAACATTAGCAAACTTTTTCAAACAACTTGTCAAACTAGCTGCAATGACTGCATATACATACCCACTGTAGCTGCAAGAACCTGCCTTGCCCTCCCACAAACGACGTTAGGCGCGACATATCCGCCTGTGGACAGTGGCCTAATCTCTGCCTTGGCCTTCTCCATCTCTTCTGATCCAACGTTCTGCTAGGCGTCTCCCCCACCACGAATTCCTACTAACGCTGTTTTGATGATAACGATATCTGTAGTTGCACACAACTCTGATGAAAAACGGTGTTTATAAGCACGAAATACGTAACAGAATAAATAAAAAAAAAATAATTACAGACCGAAAGATCATAAATACTAAATTTAAAGTTGTATTTATAAATTATTTACTTATTGATAAATTAAAAAAAAATCACCCATTATTACAAACATTTATGGGTTCAAATGATAACAAACAGTATTAAATCTCAAACAAACTTTTTAAACTTAATTGATTGATTTAAACTTGACCTATATCTGTTTTTATTCATAACGTTCAGATATAATATGAATATTACTATTTTTATATATAGTTGTAAGGTTCCCAAATTTAGTAAAACAACACATGGTGTAAGTAGAATAGAAGATGATGTTAATTTATTAATTACAAAATAGATTGAAAAAGAAATAAAATTTTAAAAAATATTTTATTTTGGGATTAAAGTCTTTTAAGAATAATGCAAGATTTTAGAAATAATGGACATTATTCTGGCATGAAGTAATGCAAACCGATGGTACTTATCAATTGCCTGTAAGTAGCGATTGTAATTACAAAAACAAATAATTCTTACATAGCTTTGGAAGCTTTAATATGAATTAGGTTGCGAAATAGGAGTTGTTTAAAGGAATTTTTGGACGAGGTTTGACGTACAGAGATATGTTTGAATTTCCGAAAAAGGAGGTGGCCCGAACGACGAGAGATTTGCAGAAGGTAGTGGTTTTATGGATGGATATATATAGATCAATTGGTCGAGATATAATATTTAGAGAGAGGACAGAGGAACGCAGAGCAAAGAGTCCTAGGGCATAGAAAGATATTATGGTTCTGAGTAATCGGGAAGTGGAAACACCAAGGAGGAATTGCCGTTGGGAAGTAGGATAGATCCACTTCAATTCGGTTTAGCAGAGAACACGAGAACGGCATGAAATCTCAAAGATGATAAAAATATGTTATTGTACAAATAATGATATTTCCATTACAAATACGTACTATAATAATAGTATAAAGTTCTTTAGACAGAGTAATAACATTTATAAATATTATTTATTTATTTATTTGATATTTTGTAGCCTCTACCCTGTAGGATCATTGGCAACGCCTTTAAATTACACTCTGTTGCAGAGTTTTATCACTTTCGTTAACGATTTCGTCAGGGTCAGATAAAGTCTTGTCCACTCTTTATACCAGGCAATTTCTTTGTTTTGGAGATCCCCTTAATGCTTTTCACTTTATTCCAGAGCTCCTTCATTGAAATGCTTTGATTTAATGAAGATAAGAAGTCTTCCCATGACGATCTTTTGCTTTTCGGTATATATAGTAATCTTTGTATCTCATTGTTTGATTTTCTAGTAAGTGTGTTTCTTGGAGACAAACTAGTATAGGGTTCTCTTCGCTTATTTCCACTTTTAGGTGCTCTAAAATCTGTTACAATTCCATTGAATGATTGTTTTCATTTTGATTGGCAAAGTGTTTCTTATTTTCCATATTATTATTATCACCATGTGTTATTTTTAAATGCTCGGTAGTGTTCAAGGAGTGCTCATTCAAAATCTTTATTAGTTTTGAGGTTCTGATTTTTAGCCCTATAAATATTAATAATGCATTACAACTAAAATAAATAGTTATATGGCTACGGTTAAAAAAAAACCATTATATTCGATTTAAGAAAATAATAAACAATATTAAATTTTTACATTAGTCAATCTGACTTGTTAGAATGCACTTGCATGTATTTATGTAATTTTGCAGGTATTTATGTCGATATTCTTCCAATGGCAGTGATGATGAAAAGTCTTCGTGATAACTGATTGCAAGCCTTATAATATTTGGACATAATCTTGCATATTCTATACGTATAAGTTTTGATTGGGAAAGCGGGGTAACTCAGTGTTGAGTACTGATTCTACCAAGATGAATAATGACTTCCAAGGCTTAAGGTCTCGGGTTTGAATCCGGAGGATGACAGGTAAATTATTTACTCTGTGTCATCAGCTATGAATGAACCCTGGGGTCGAGAGACCCTCCTGGGGCCCATTCGGCCTTTATAAAGTGGATGTGTTTAAACTAATTAATTTTCGGTAAAATCGTGGCAGTTGAGCGCGATCTCGGTCTAATCACCTCCTTGTACAACAGTTGACCAATAAACAATACTTCACTACATAGGAATGAACCTAAGATCTTTCATGGTTAAAAAAATAAAGTTTTTTTAAAACTTTTAATTTGCTAAGAAACTTTGAATCTTTTGAATCTGGACATAATATTTGAACTACTGGAGTATCGTATTAAAAATTACAAATGGTTCTTTAAATTGTATGTCTTTTCGAATCCAAACTTCAGTAAAGACTTTACAATTGTGTTAAAAGGAAAATTAACTAAATAAATAATTAATTTAAAATATGATATCAGCAGTAATCCATTAATCAATATTTGAATTACATAGACCATTTCTAAGTAATTTAAACACTCCTCTAATGGAATTCTGAATGGTTATTATGTTCTAGGTCTTTTTAATATAATATAAATATGATGGTGGAGATACTATTAAGACAATGTATAAAGATAACATTATTTTAAAGGGAACTAATGGAATCGAAAATAACGTACAGATCTATAAAAAATCACGTAAATGTTTGGGACTCGTGACGACTGCAATTAGGAATGATAATAACAATAAGCTGGCCTAACCGATAGTTTTATTAAATAAGATTAAGAAACACTTTCACAATATTTTGAAAACGGGAAATTCTGGCCTGCCACCTTTTTTTGAGTATCATAATGATGAACTGTTAACAGAAGAACCAATGAAGAATTGTAAATAAACATCGAACAGTTATAATGTTATAAAGCAGCGGAAATCTATAATATTCATAGTGAGTTAAATAAGGTATGCGATTACTCTAGAAAACAGCGCTCACAAAATATTTTCAAGCGAGATAAAAAAAACAAAGAGGAAAGCTGAGTGAACGTGGGATACACGAGACATGAGTTTAACAATGGGTTATTTGTTTAAAAAAAAAAGAAAAAACAAATAAATAAGGACATGTGAGGGAGGACGTCATCATGAAGGAAAAGCTCTCAACGAAATGGAAAATCAGACTTCCAACTCACATCGCTAAATTCACCGTCAGTTGTCGATCTCCAGAATGAAAATTATATTAATATAAAATGTTTATTTTCACAAATAATGAAATGAGAAATAAACTCGAAACGGGAAATATGCACACTTTTACAGTTTCTGAGCTTTTTTTTTTTAACTTTTCAGCAACGAAGTATTTTCATGAAAATGAGCCATTCCAAAAACGGCTAATAACTATAGATTTAAAAAAAAAACCAGTCCAAATGGGACCTCAATTAATGAAACTTGGCTACGGACTCTGGAATGGCAGTTCTCTTGTACTTTCCAAGCGTTGGAACGCCGTGTCACAAAAACAACTCCAGCTGTAACATCTGTTCTGTTTCTTTTGGGTATCCTTATGCTCAAATGCGCTTTCCAGGTTTTACATTTTCCCATAAATTTTTCTAGATTCAAATCATACGGTGCTCTCGTTCCATGGATTATTCTCAATATCCTTCTTTAAATATGGAGTTTTCGTACACCATTCGTTATTTTGTTAATTTGACAAAGGAGTTGTAATGTTTGATTTTGGCGTTTTCGGGCAGGATTTTCTTGTTATCGATATTTCTTATTATTTTGGCATTTATTAGCAAAATTTGATGTTTTCGCTTTAGTTCTCCTTTGATAGATTATTTGTCTTCTCCATGAAATATTATGATATCACCTGTATATTTCAACTATTTTACCTTTTTAATAAGGATCCCTAGAGACCTCCCTAGGGGGCAAGCCGTGGCATGCTTTAGAATGCTCACAGGCCACGATTTCCTTCAGAAGCACCTCCATCGCATCGGTGTAAAAGATAGCCCGACATGCCCGATTTGTTCCTTAGACATGATGACAGGAGAACATCTTGATACATGCCCTGCATTACAGGACATAAGATGTTCCTTTAATGAAATGGACAGCCCAAAACTGTATTGGACTGCAAGAGCACAATGGCTAATGAAGCAGGCGTTACTTAAACGCAGGAAAAAAAAAAAAAACTTTTTAATTTCCTCGATGTTTGTCTATACTTGCTTCATCACCAGTGACTTGGTTGAGTGAGTAGCGCAGGGATCTGTTAGAGCTGCTTTTCCTTCTATAGTTAGAGGAAAGCTCTGGGTTCCCTGCCTGTTTTTAGGCAGTATATTGTATATAGGTTTGACTGTGTTTTTATATTTTTAATTTACTTATATTTAGGTTTTATTTTTATTGTACATAGTTTTTTTTATTATTTAGTTATTATTTTACTTTTGTTAATTTTATATTTTCTCTATATATGGTGTGAATGTGTTCATTAATCAATATAATCATTGCCCATGAGACAGAATATTATATGTCTAAAAAAAAAAATAAAAAATTTAGAAATGATACGATGAAAGATAAATTAATACCTGAAAAATTAATTTTGGCGATTGGAATCTAGTAAGCATTTCAACATAACACTAACTAAACCATCCAATCTTTCTGGAAGAAAAACTTTAAGGAATGGGACTTTAGAAGAAGCAAAGTTTCTTAAGAAGAAGGGTCGGAAGTTCCCGCTTTCCCTACGATCTAGTAGTCACATAAACACTTCTAGAAAACTGGGGGTAGCATCACTACCAAGTTCAGAACATCAATTCCCGGCATGGCTCTAATTTCTGAATTGGAAAAGTTTTGCTCCTTCAAGAAACTGAATGAGCGTGAAATATTTAAAACTCCAATCTCTAGAAGAAAAGAAAACTAAATTAATTATTGATATCTGATAAGTAATCGAAATGAAATAAATAGTCAGGAAGCAGTCATTATACAATCTTTTTATTTTTATTTGTGCCAACGTTTCTACCCAAACATG